CGCAGTTCGCATATGAATTATTTCATATATACTTCACATCGTAGCTTCTTTTATTGCTGATATTCGTACGCTAAGATGTCTTAAAATAATGAAAGCTTCTAAAAACGCATGGTCTTCAAAGGGCCTTATTTCGAGAACGAGCACTGTGACCCCCTCCCCCTGTTTATCTCACTGCGTGGCAAGTTTTTTTTTTTAAATATGTTCGTGGGAACACTTGGGGGCAACTTTCAGGCGGGCATTGATATTATTTGAATACTAATGATATTAGACTACTATGTTTTGAATGGAAATTAGATTTAAAAATTCTTCGTCGCAAACAAAAGAGAACTCACTGATGTTTATATCAAATTGCTGAATCGAGCTGAAACCACCTGTGGTATGAACCTGGTGTTATCTGTTTCCTGGCAATCTATCCTTCGGCAGTTTGCGATGGATCGACTTAGTTGACAAAAATCACTTTAATTGCGAGTAAACAAATAAATTGCAATTCGAAATTCCATAAAATTGTTGTGTCGGTACCGGTCAATATAATATTCAAATAATTATCATGCTTGAGTAATATTGGGTTAATGTGACAATTTATTGCATTAGTTGCAAATTGCGATCGTAATAACAGCTGTTACGCCCGCACTGTGGCGACATTTTCCTTTTACAGGTTTGTTTTATTCTGAAGCAGTTGTTTGCTCTGCAAGTTTGTCAAGGCTAACATGGGGGGCTAGAATTCGGCATAAACTAGTGCGGTACTATAAACAGAAATGACGTCTCTCTCACGCCCACATGACGTGGGTTTATGCTAGCGGAAGTCATCAGTTTAGTCATCGAAAAAGCATTCAGTTCATGGAAACCGAAATACAGTGAAAAACTTCAAAACTTATGCTACTTACTTTCCCAAAAGATGAAGTGAAACAAAGAGGTTGATAATCGTTGTTGTTCTACTCAAGAGGCATTCGTTTCCCCTCCCTTCCCCGCATGGTACACAAAGGTACACGTGATTGACGTGATTCTCTCATCTGTTCCTGGAACTAGAGGAAGTGAGTTTGGTAAGAGACAGTACGAAGCTCCACAGATATTGCCATCAAATCTACACGGAAATGCTCCATTTACGGTCTTTAAGCTCCACCTTTCTCGCGAAAGGAAAGATTGAATCCTAACATGCATCAAACAATTAGCGTATCAACTTTATAACCCTCTTAAACGGCTGGAGTTGAACTAGTGTAGTCGCAGGACGCTGGATATTATTTTGATTTCGGTAAGCTTAAATCTTGTGTAACCCTTTCTTTCCGTAAAAGACCATTGCATTGATGGCATGTTTACTTCATTTTTCTGTTTAATTAAGTAATCAACTTTCGTTGTAATCATTTCGTGAGTTAATATACACAATCAGACATTCACATTCCAATACGACTCAGCCACATGTAAGGCTTTAATTGTCTCGATCATAACTTCTTACTGATCTTGTCGTCTGCACGACACGTCGGAACGTATCTTGTCCTTGTTTGATGTCAGTTTGTAGCATGAAGTTGTTTTCTTGGCGGGAAGTTCGTATTCATTCTTCATTACTTGAATTTGAACTGTTTTATGAGTCAGTCGTACACTGAAGAGAAATTTGCCATCTTAATTTCGCAAGACTTTGTTTCTATATCAGCTTACGTGTTCGACGTCTTGGAGTTTGCTACATTGCCGAAGCCATTGACACCGGTGGTAATCACTATATTCCCTTTGGAGAGTTGGGGAGGGCATGAAGATATTTCTACATCAGTTTTACAATACTTCATATTGACATTGTGTGTGTGTGTGTGTGTNGGGTCTCGAAAGCCAAATATTTTTTAGCTTCATTGTAGGTTAGTGTAGTATCACACAGGCCTATAACAGTGAGAATGATCACTTTTCCCAGCTTGGAAGCAACTAGTTTGTCAGAAATTTTGTCTGAATCGTGCAAACTGAAATTTGCCAGCTCCCCAATTTCGGGTTTCCATGCATTTACTGACATTAAGGTCTGACAATTCTCCAAGCTTTCTGAAAGTTTCCTTATGTTGCATTATATTTGCAATGCACGCTCTGATTGGTCAATAGAGTTGCTAAACCTATGTTCTATTATACCGGTAAACCACGGTTCCTGATCTATGGCAGCTCTACGCGGGAACTAGAGAACTCGGAACTCTAACGATAACAAATGTAATAAACAGTTTTGCCTTTTACTGGCTGAGATATCAATAACACGAATATCTTTTCAATCAACATACACATGGAAATCTGCAAGGAAAAAAGGACCAGAAGTTGGTCGTCGTACATGTATAAAGCTTTAAGTTCATCTTTTCTTATTTTACGGTGACTCCTGTTATGCTTGAGATTAAAATTAAGGAAGTTTTAAACCTTTTTTTTGATGCTTTCCATGGTCTGTGGAGGACGAAGTCAGCTGGGCCTGAATGATCAATTTGGGTTGTTAAAAAAGCAGGGAAAAGATTTCTTTCTATCGGAAATATTGATTTTAAACTCAATGCATGCACACATAATACATTAAATGAATTTGGTTTCCATAAGCTTAGCTTTCAAGCAATAGTTTTCATTTAGCAAAATACAGAGAAACATGGACTTCATAGCCTTCAGCATAAGTAAATAAATTCTGAACAAATTTTGGAAGCAGCATTTCTGTAACTAAACTTTATTCCATTTGCAAAACTTTAGAAAGTTATTGTTAAACACTGCGTTGAATCACTTCGCCAAGCACATGAAGTTTGGACTACTTGCACACCTTTCATGCAGCCTTTTACTTTTGTGATGATCGATTCCACCTACAAATCCCTGCATTTCGCTGTCAGAATACTTTTGAGTTAATTAATGTACTTTTTGCCTGTCACCGATAACCTTTTCCTTTCCTTTCTTAAAANAGCGTATTCAACACGTGATTAGTTTCTGGTTGTGAGCAAAAGGTATTTAGACTATATTTTAGCTGAACCAGAGGAAGGCTGTCAGAGACGCTAAAAGCGATGTGGCAACAATTTTGTTATTAAAAACATACGAAAAATGGTTTTTATGCTACCATTTACCATGCAGTGTTACACTGTAAGGTCTTTATAAATGTGTTTGCTTTTCTGTAAGTAAAGGTGAATTCGAAGGAAATCTGTGAAGAAATATCCTTTCCTTCTTTTTTCAGAAAATGCTGATGTCAGCATTTTTGTTGAGATTCAAGGCTAATTATCTCGAAAAATGCGTGGCTACCCCAATTTTTCTTTGTGGATTCCAATAGCCCTTGCAAAGGTGTACAGTACTTTTCCCACGTGGTGCTTACCTGGCGCAAATATAACAAGGGGCCATCAAGCACACTCAGCCCAGCCCTGAGCCATTACAGGTGTTATGGGTTACAGCCCTTCAAATGACAGCCCTGATTGGTATACCAAACTTCTACATTTTGTAGGGTAGTGTACAGGTACTTGTGCGGGGCTGTCATTAAGTTTTGATTCATCTGTAGCCTTGATCTTCAAACCCATAACAAACTTGTTACTTTATGGGAGAATTGTACCACCTACAGGCAAGTTCACCTGTACCATCAAGGGCCCATCAAGCATGCTCAGCCGTAACAGGTGCTACTGGTTATGGCCCTTATTGACAGCCCTGTTGTGGAAACAAGATTTTACAATATCTTAGGTATTGACATTGACTTCATGGCTGCAGTGACTGACTACAGTAAAACTACAGATCATATGATACAAATTGGTGTTGACTGTGTTACATGTAAATATTTCTTTACAGGGCGTGATAGATATTTCATTTTGCACAAAGGCTGCCTATATTATTACAATAGACCAGAAGCTACAACTACAGCTGGGAAGTTTTCTCTTGGTGGATACAGGTACTGATCTTAGCCCAGGACTGAATCTTATGAGTTCAAATATGCATGTATCTTTGTCTTAGTAGCAAAAATTTGGAAATGTAATGTGATTGTATGCATTTTTTACAGCAACTTGTCTCAGGCTATACAGCAAGATTGAAAATTATTACTCACAATGTTACACTGCAAATAATTCAATAATAATATCATGTACATATTTTATAAAACTAGTACCACCATTATACCACCATACTGCCTTGTGACAACAAAATTTGCATCTTTGTAAAAAAAATTGTGTGTGTACGTGTAAGGTCAGTAGGCATTATCTACAAATCAAGTTTTTGCCTTAATAAGACCTCCTTCGATCTGTACATCTCTATATATAATTATGGTTTAGTTTGTCCCTATTGACACCACTGTGTGAGTATCTGGGGCTCGACTTACATGTATCAATCAAATCACGAACATTTTTAAATTATACTTCGGAGACGAGATATTGACATAATTTTGACAAGTACTTTTAATGCACATATCGACCCTATTTTTGTGAGGTTAAAAATCCTAAAATTTGAAAACATTATCAAACTTTAAATAAGTAAAGTCAATTACCTTTACAAAATCACCTTCTTCCTGAAAGTTTCAATGACATGTTTTCACTTAACTGTGACGTACATAAATATAATACTCAAGGACTAAGAATTCTTTCCATTTGCCCTACTGTAGGACAAATGTAAAGAAATTCTCTCTCTGTTTTCAAGGCCCCAAATTATTTTATTCTCTATGCACTGAAATTCAAAATGCCCAGAGCTAGTATTGCTGTGTTCACCTCTAAACTTAAGCCATCTTTCTTGTTATAAGTACAGTATATTATACTTCTTTTAGAGTGTGTTTGTGTGTCCTTCTTTTCGCTTTTTTCTATTTTTTTTTTCCATTATTCCTTTATCTACCTTTTTGTATCCTAAAGTATAGTCATTTTGTATTCTGAAGACAGCATTTTTACTCTTGTTAAGAATTAAGTGTGTAGGGTTAAGTCCTTTACATAAGCATTATGACTTCTCTGGGCTAAATCCTTCACTATAGTATATATACACTGATGTAACATTTTATATTTTGTAAATGGCAAAATAAAATAAAACAAGAACAAGAACAAGGTCTTAAGTAATACCTAAGGCATCGTTTTCTTTGCAACTTGTTGTTCAACAATGTTGCATTGCAAGTTGAAAAGTGGTAAGGCTGTTCTAGATATTAGTACCACACATGGCAACCAGGAATTGGTCACAAACATTCTGATTATTTTATTTTGTTTGATTTTTATCCTCCTCTCTTTTAGGCTGTCCCCTGCACCAGAAAAGAGCTCTAAATTTCAGTGGACATTTAAACTAGTTCATTTGCAGCCAGAAAAGAGGACTTATTACTTTGCTGCTTATTCTGAAAAAGAAATGACTGTAAGTAATGTCTTTTACAGCAGTACAGTGTATTAATAATTATATTTGACAGTTTGACATACATTGTACTGTAGATTTTAGCTTTGTCATGGGTTATTGGGTCCAAAAGGGGATTTCAGTCATAACTAGCTCCAATAAGCACCAGGATCACTGTATTCAGTGCCGTTGCCGAGCTTAATGGGAGCACCAGGAAGCGCTGTAAGTGATAATCTTCCTTCAGTGCCTGTCTGTGTCAGTAGGTCCAAGCCCTAACAAAGTTAACTGCGTAGCTGCTGCAACATGATGGTAACTGCTAGTGCCATAAACAGTGTATGAGCTCGAATTGCAATTTGATAATAATATTATTAATTTATAGTTAGCATATTGGACGTGGTTCAAGTACTGATCTGCAGGGCCAAATTGTGTAGCTTTCTGACTACATGCACAATTTAGAACTCTCATGCAGGATTAAGCACCCTATCCAGGGGACATAGCAATACCTTGGTCTAGTCTCATGATATGGAAACCAGTTTAACCTCTCATTGTGTGGTAGTTTGTCTTGAGTGCTGCAGTACCCTTTTACCTTAAATTCTCAGGAGTGGATGGAGAGTATAAATGCAGACATGAGTGAATACTGTGGAACTGGAAGACAGACCATGTGAGTTCTATCATGTGATTTAACCCAACCCCTTATTGAAATCTTGTTTGATTACAATATTGCTCTTCTAGTAATTGACTTGACTTAATCCTCTTTGCCCAATTTGTGAGGCACAAGGCTTCCACCATAGCTCTCAACCAGATCCAGCCTCATCCCATGTATTCCTGATGTTTTCATGCTTCTTCTAGTAAGCATCTCTTGAAAGTTGTAGTGTAACACCTTGATCTTAGTTAGCTATGTGTTTGGTTGTTTCAAGACCTACATTGTATTTCTAAAAATGTATATCAGGGTAGTCAATGTCTGTTGGTACATTGTTGGTACATGACAATGCATTAATAGTACAGTTGATGTATATGTGTTACTTTTCTTTGCTTTTTCACAGAATTGAACCTTGTACTGACTCTGGAGAAGAATATTGCTACCCAGAAGTAGAACCAAAATTTAGTATGGAACAATTGGCTGCTTTGTTTGGAAAATGCCCATTACCTGGCTCTGGGGAAACAGGAGGTTCACAGCAGCCCACGTCGGACCCAGTGTATTGCCCACCTCCTGAAATAGACCCTCGAGACATACTAAGAAAATCACCACACCTTCTCAGATCTGCCCCTCCTTCACCTAAGCCAGGGCCTGGAAAGCAGAAGATGGGGTTCAGCTACATGGGGGGAAATAGAATGTCTGCAGGACCATCATCGTTAAGACTAATGAGACAACCATCTCCTGGATCCAGCCCTATTTTTAACCGTAAGCCAGACCTTCCTCCAGATGTTCCGTCAAGACAAGGAAAGCCCTTGGCTCCACCCAAGCCACTGTCAAGGCCACCTCCTCCTACAAAACGTGCCACTGCACCCGTGTTGACATATCCTTCATGCATTTCGAATTCTGAAGGTATGCTTCCAGTACATGGCTATTTCTGGCTTAGCGTTTCTGGTTTAAAACACACAATAATTATAATAACAAACTAGGCAGGGAGAGTAATATCTGATGATATCCTTAAAGAATTAAGTCACATCATGATCTTCTGCATCAGATCACCAAATTGTGTAGACATTCCGAGAGTCTGTATGAACTAAGAAATTACTTCATACAGTAATTTGATTTGGGTGACATCAGCAACATTTTTTCTTCCTTTTCAATTTAACCCTAGATGATGATGATGAAGAAGGTGAGGGTTATTTGGATATAGTTCCTGACACAAATCCTGAAGATGTGGCAAATGAAGTGAAGCAGTCTACCCCGTCAAGGTCTGTCCAGTAAGAAACAACTTTTGTTCTGTCTTTTCTTTACTAATAAAAGTTATATTGGTGTACAGTTGGACCCAGCTAATTCAAACTCGGTTATTTTGATTTCCTTTTTATTTCGAACTCATTTAACCATTTCCCTTGGATTTGCCCTTCAGCCATTTACTATTGGTTTTCGAACTCCCACTAATTCAAAGTATTTTGCGTTTCCCCTAAGAGTTTGAAATAGCGAGGTTGAACGGTATTAGTCCAACTTAAGGATAGCAGATACAATGGATTGTGAGAAATTGGAGATGAAATGCATATGCTTATTAAAAAGGCAAATAATAGCGACGAGGCAGGTCATCAATACTTCAGAATTTCTTCAGAATTCTTTGTGTTTTTCTTTCAAGGTATTTAAGCTGGGCCACGACCTGCTACAGTGGAACACAATCGGTCACGATCTGCTTGGTCAGTCAGCAGAGCACTGGTTAAGCTAAGGGGCCGTAACTTGAGGAACTTGTATGGACCCCACATGTGGGTCTTTATAAACCATTTTCCTAAAAAAGAAAAAATGTACTGGACAGGTTGTTTCATCTTAGTCAGGATTTGCAATGCATGAATCTTATCTTTTTCTAGCTTGTTAAATACAGTATATCTTTAGCTTACAGTACATTGGTGAATTGATTTTTCTCCAGGGGATTTCCAGATGGGCAAAGTTTTCGGAAGCACCACAGTGAGGTTAGTAAGCCAATAGCATGACTGATCGAAATAATAATAATAAAAAACTTTATTCAGATTGATGGTTGATCGCTGGTGTTTCTCTATAGAGTACATGACAGTAGGTTTGGAGCTCTCTGAGAGAGTATTAGACTTGCCCATGTTAGCCATGATGAAACGGTTTACTTGAGTCACTTGCTAAAGTCATACAAGTTATATTTAGTGTTCTCTTGCAGGATGTTCTTCCTTCCTCAGCTTTACGGCTTGACGTGGATAAACTGGAGGTCCATTAGTAAGTACAATGTGCTTCTCTTGTTTTTCTGAAGAGCAATAGCAAGTGGTTACATGGTGAAGTTTTCAATGGCCAAATTCACAGTATACCAGGGACAAGTTATCCGTCTGTGACAAACTAACCATCTGAGATGAATTAGTAATTCGTATTCCTGAGATGGATAAGTCATCTCAGATGGGTAAATCATCTTTTAATATAAATTCGGCTTCAGATAATACGGTCATCTCTAGATAAATTCGGCCAATAATTCCTTTGTGACAGACATTTTGATGGGTTTTACATGTATGTTTATACTGATATCAGGTGTACATGTAACTTCTGAACCCATTTACGAAGCAAAATATGCGTTTAAATCTTGAACTTTTTAGCATCATTCACTGGCATTTCCAAAAGAATCGTGGGAATCAGGGACCTTGTGGATCAATCTCTAAATTCTCTGGCTGACCATTTATCGATATTTCACCATCATATGAAAGTCATACGGGAGGAAAAATTTAATCTTTATTCCTTTGAGTACAAAAACACCATTACCTTTCTACAGTAGATGGTATCTTAGTGGGCTATATCTTATTTTATTTTTAGTCTACTGGAGAACAAGCTAGGAGTTTACATTATGCGAGAAAGTCAAAATGCACAATCAAGGCGGGTAGGAGAATCGTTCTTACTTAATTTTTTATAGTAACTCTTGTGTCCTAACTGTCCTATGAACTGTTGTCGTAGAAGTTTCAGGATGTATCAATTGCTGTTATATTAATTAATATTTACTTTGATCATTACTGTGATTGCAATACCCCTCATACTGGTTTTTCTCTACCACGCAGGCTTTGTCAGTGTGGACTGGAGAAAAAGTACGACATTATATGTTATTTCATGATGAGGTAAGGGAGAACTGATACATGTCATTTGTTTCTTATGTTCCTTCCTTTCTTCTCTGCTCCGCTTCCCCTTGCCCCTCTGCCCCCATGCTCCATTGCTCCTCTGTCCCCCTGCTTCCCTGCTTCCCTGCTCCCCTACTTTTCTCTGTTGTCTCTCTTTGTTTTCTTGTCCTTGTCCACTGAATGTTATGCAATCATCTGATCTGTTTGTGTGTTCTATTTACTTCCAGAACCTAGGTTACGCTCTCGACCCCGAGGGTGAAAGATTTGATAACATGAAAGACCTTTTAAGGCATTACTACAAGTTTAATCTGCCAAAGTGTGACGTGAAACTCACAAGTCCTTATAAGTAGCTGTTTTCAATGGGGTAACTGACACTGAATTGTTATCTCCTTGTTTATGAGAAATATTTTTTAAAATTGATAGTGTTAGTATAGTTTTGACATTGATATTCGCATGATCAAGAGACCCGGTAGCCTCGTATGCAGATGCTTTTTGGGCTTGTCATGCAATCTTTACGTGACGAGTCCATGTAGAATCTGGCGGCTAGAGAGCGTGAATATGAGACGTTCTCGTCAATAGAGAAGTTTATCTTCTGAAAGAGGATTATTTCGTCCATAGGTATAATTATCTTCCCTCTGAACAAGCAGGACTTGTCCTGTATGTAAATTGATCCCCACAGCTCCTGGTCATTTCATATAAATACTTCTTAATTTGATTTATGCCATTATGCCAATTCTTTCATTCCATGGCCTCCCTCTGTTTTCTTAATTCAAACAAGTTGAATGATTTGCCGAAGTAACATATTTGGACGCTGGGTTATGAAAGGACTCTAAAATAAAACTACGTGATGCAGTGTAATAAGAAAAGGTACTCTTTAACCTAAAGAATAAAAGTATAAAGTAAAATGAAGGGTGTTTCTCCTATAGAAGTATGTCGTTCTCTTTGTGGGCTGGTTCCACTGCCATGAGGTACAAATAAGGACGGCAATAAATTAGGCATAATTTACATTGTGAATACCAACCAGTGTTTTGAAGTAAAGCACTAAAAGAACGTTAAAACTGTATACAAATGTAGCATATTGTTGACGCAGATAAATTGAAGGGAATTATTATTATTACAGTATTTTGTAATTGGTCTAAAAGTGCAACGTATCTAGATAAAATAATATCAGTGTTGATACGTCAAAATATGGCTAAACAACACAGTCATTATTGTCTTATTCATAACGGAGATCTTACTTATTTCATTTACATTAAGACTCTTATATTTCTTAGAGAGTCCTGATACAATTATTGACACAATTTAAAAATTTGTTTGGAATCTTTTTTTTTAAATTTCTTGAATGCATTTTATTATTATGTATTCAACTTATTTTTCATAACGTGGAAAATGTTCTGTGTAGCTTTTAATTTATGCATTGAACATTGAAAATTAGCTATTTTTTTTCAAGAAAGCTTTTTAGTTATTCAAATAAAACTATTTTTGAATTTTGTTTTAGTCTGTTTCACTACGTCTACAGTCACATGCATTGTTTAGACCTTGTATTGGAAAACTCTGGCGTAACGTACGGGGTGTTGGTGGCGGGGGGCGGGGGGCGGGGGGCGGGAGGAGTAGGGGGTAGCAATGGGATCAAAAGGTTCCCTTGTCACACGAAGATGTGAATGCAAGCTGACGCGTTTCGCCCATAGGAAAATTCTCTTTGAATTATTTCGCGTTTACAAATCCTCACAGATAACTGGCAAAAGGTTCTTCTCTGTTCTTGCAATCACCAGCGGTTTGACATACGAACGAGTCGTAAGGTCAATTCTACTGTGTTGATCCTTTCGCCTAGTTGTTGTTTCTTTTTAAACAAAAGAATATTTGATGGGAGATTCAACTGCAATAACCGCATTTGTCCAAATTCAAGAGAATAACCCCTCTTAAGAAAACCATAGTATGGGAAAATGCAGTTCCAAATTTTTGTCTACGAGGCTATGGTATCGCTTTGAGTTGTGCACGGTCTATGTCAGGAAAGGGGCAAAGTCGACGGGCGAGTCCGATATCCAGTTCGGTTCTTTGACGTTGCCGGCTTTCAGGCAACTTCTAACTAGTAACTACGAGAAAGGCAAGCTAGAAGAGCAAAAAGTATCGAGACAAAATTTAATATAAGGGGATCAAAAGGAGTTCTGTGTAGTATTTCACAAGAGAGTAGGACTAATTTTTGTCATGTTAGAGTTTTATTTCTCTCAAAAGAGACGGAGGTATTTCAATCTATGAGAAAAACCAGAAAGACGGCATCCATGTTACTTCTTACTCCAGCTGCTAACACTCCGTGCATGATGTCATCATCTCCCAGGTAAAATAGCGCCACCTGAAACCACACAAGTGTACAAGCACGTACTGGATGTTAAAACTCGATTAAACACTCTCCTGATAGCGTCGTAAAGCTACGCGCTAAACTGGCTTCGGGACTTACACCACGCGGGCAAAGTCACTTCAAATTAAAGGCAGGAAAACTTTGTTGCGATACAAGAATTTTCACTAATGCTTGCGATACTGTAGCCTGCGTAACATGAAGATGCATACGTCCTTTTGCTGTTTTCTCCGAGAGTGAATCGTTTCATTTTAGAAATTCAGAAGTTAGACCCTGTAATTATACTTTGAAAATTACATAAAATGAAAAAAACAAGTCATTGTGATTACCGTGAGCCCCATTGCGAGCTTAGTGGGCTAACATGAGGCGTATTTCTGAATGACATGACGCAGTGGAACTCGCATATAGGAGTATCTCACCCTTCCCTCTCCCTTTCTAGGATAAGGGGGAGCTTAAGAATGGCAGATGAATTTGATTAACAAAGAGATAACGTACTCTTGCAGCGTCTGGTGACACAAATGCTTCTTTATAAGCCTTTGTTGCTTCATCGGCGTCATCGCGATTGATCAGTAAATCTGCAATGTATATCTCTGTCTGAAAAGAAGTATGGAGATCAGGAACTGTTCGTCAAAAGAAAGTACAAATTAATCCAATAGTTATGACCTCTCTGGCTGTGTGGTTATAAAGATTTGGGTGGAACTCTAAGAGGCTTGCTGGGCTACTTTGAATCTGCGAAGAACACTGACTTTATCTAGTTATTATTGGACTGTATTGAAGAAACATTGGTCAAGTTCCTTCATTTGGAGGTAATAAAAATAAGGTGGAGTAATAAATGAAACACGAGAGACCATGTTTACCAAGTTTCCAAACACTGAGAACAGAGTTGAAAATAACTTATTACCCCCAAAAGAGTTTTTTTTGACGAACTTCGAGTTGTTTGACTGTGGTGAAACACTGTCCCGCATGCTCGATATGTATGGGTTACTGACCAAGTGGGAGGTTAAGATGGCTGGATATTGGCCAAGTTCTTTTTTTGCGTATTTATGGACCGAGAGGGAGTCGAGGTCCATAAACTCGCAAAAAAAAGAACTAGGCCAGTATCCAGCCATCTTGACCGAACAAGCTTGGTCAACTGAAGGGTTTATTATATGGCTTTCGGGGAAATTTTTCTTGCGGGACACGGCGGGTAGTCCCGAGCGGGCAAGATAGCTCCATCTTGCCCGCTCGGGTAGCCAATCACAGCGCCGGATTTGATTCATCTTGCCCGCTCACGGAGCTAGCCATATAATTATATAATACGTCGTCTTAAGAGTGACTTCCAGTAAATACTACGGATAGGTGTGCAAAATGCAAAAATCGAATTCCCTCAAAATTTTTCACAAGAAAGCCCTCTGGAAACTGTTTAGGAAAATACAATTTTTAGTTCGTTTGGATTTATATTTTTCAAGTAAAGCGATTTTTTAATTTCACCCTTGGAGAAGCCCACGAACAACTGAAAAATGTGCTTCGTATTTGCGACTCGTGTAAGAAAACTAAAACAATTATCAAATCTATTTCGATATTACACAATTTAATGACCCTTCCTTTACA